TATATGCAGCATTTGTGAGAAGGCAAATGTCACTTGTGAGAGGGAAAAACCTCAATGTCATGAGCTGATTATATTGTTCAAAGCCTCCTGTCATTATGTCATTCCATGCTGTCTCTCTGCACTTAGACGACTCCTTCAGAGAGTTTTACAGACTCGAGGACTCTCCCATCATGAAATATCTCCAGCAGCCGCTTTATTTTGAGGTGGAGCTCATGAGTGCAACAAATCAAGTATCACTGGAGCTGGAGAACTGCTGGGCAACATTGGATGAGGACAAGACGTCCCAACCCAGATGGGATCTGATCATAAACGGGTAACGCCCAAGCTGGTGTTAACGTATTAGCATAAGCTCTTCATACTGATGCAAGGATGGGGTAGGGGGACAAAATTTAATTTCTTTTAACATATCTTTGAAATTGTCCAGCTGTCCACACACAGACCCACACAATGTGGTCTTCCATCCAGTGTGGACTGATGCTAGGGTTCAGTATCCCTCTCACTTTAAGCGCTTTGAGGTCCAGATGTTTGCCTTTACTGAAAATGAAGAGGATCTAAGTCCTCAGGTAACTCGGCCTGGTTTTTTTTTTTTTTTTTTTTTTTTTTTTAAAAAAGTCCATGGTTCCAGAAAACTGCACATGTAAATCAGTACTCATAAAAATCCTTGCATCTTCTAGGTCTTCGTCCACTGTGACGTTGTGATCTGTGATTCCAGAAATCCATTAGGTGGCATTTGTAATGGGCAATGTTCAGATCCAGAGTACAGAAAAGGTATAGTATGAGGTCCTTTATAATGGAAAACTTTGTTTCAAGGGTTTGACCCAGAAAAAGAAGAGAACATGGTGTGCCATAGTACTTCTGTCTCAGACTAATTTTCTTTTCAGCCTGTTGAAATTGATTACTGTTAACTTTCCTCATTCTCTTCTCTCCACAGGTAAAAGACATATCTCAGAGGAACAAAGTTCAAAATCCTTTGTGACATTTGGACCAGTAATTATGAGTTGATACAATAAAGATTTATTTTTCTTTTTAAAATTCACCTTTATTGTCTGTTCCTCTGATTTGCTACATGTGGAAATTTGAGTTTTCCACCTAATTCTGAGTATGTAGTCAGTTATGTTGCCTCACCTATGAAATTATGTGAAAAGTCATAATTCAATGTACCTCTTTGGGTTAAGGACTCTTGCAGAGGTGAGTGTGCATTCACAAGAGGAATACTAGTGACCATGTGTCTTAAAAGACAAATGTAAGGTTTATGATATGGAGAGACTTGTGGTTTTGAGATGGTGGCACTCGCAAAAACCGCAGTCAAAGCTGGAGAAATGAAGGTGCCAATATTTTCATTGGGCAGTGCCAGACTAGACATGATTGGAGGACAGCTTAGCTTGGAGACAAATTGCTCTGTCAGGCAGGAGGAAGACCAGAAGGTTTGTTCTTGTATGACAGAGGATGCAAATGAAAGATCAGCCAAAAGACTGATTAGAATCTTAATAATTTAAGGTTGCTTTTGTACTTTAGCAGAAAGCCCAATAAATATTTGTAGTTTTCTTCAAAATGCATCAGTATGAAGTGACTCATTTTACAGCCCACAGGAACAATTTCCACACATTTTCAGATGCATTAACTGGGATTTCTGTAGTATGGTGGGTGCATTTTTCCACTTCAAAATATTTCTTCATAAATAGGATACTTTGGAATTTATTTTATTTTTTAAATGACATTAAGGAGCTCCTGAATGGTAAATGAAGCTAATTAAATCAAATGTACTAAATGGAGTACTCTGCTTTCTCGAGCAGTCAACCAGTGTGTCTTTCCATAGTAGTGTAGTTCCAATGAGGCCACTTTTGCCATGTTCTGCACATCTTTCTGATCTTGTGCTATCAGGAGGCTCTCAATGGTGGAACAACAGAAGGATTGGAGTTGATTCAGTGTTATTGATACAGTGCCAAATCACAACAGTGGCCTTAAGGTGCTGTATATTGTAAGGTAAAGACCTACAACAATACAGAGAAAACCCCAACAGTCAAACAATCCCCAATGAGCCAGCACTTTGGTGACACTGAGAAGGAAAAACTCCCTTTTAGCTGGAAGAAACCCCTGGCAGAACCAGCCTTAGGGGAGTGGCAGCTATCTGTCGTTACCAGAGGGGAGGGAGACGGGATGAAAGACGCACTGTGGAAGAGGGCCAGAGATTAATAACTAATGATTAAATGCAGTGTCGTATAAACACACAGAGCGAAGAACAAATACTCAGAGCATCATGGGATGCCCCCAGAAGCCCAGGTCATTAGCAATGTAAAAAAATGGAGGATTCGGGGTCACCTGAACCCATCCTAACTATATGCTTTAAAAGAAAGTTTTAAACCCAATCTTAAAAGTAGAGAGAGCATTCCACAGAAGAGAAAAGCTGGAAAGCTGAAGGATCAATTAATAAGAGCTAATATGAGAGAAATATGTTCTCACAGAAGCATTTGGAATCAACCAAAGGCTTTTCTGTTAGTTTTTAGCCTTATAATATCAATTACAGTAGTCCCGCCTAGAAGTAACAAATGCATGAACTAGGTCTTCAGAATCACTCTAAGACAGGATGTTTCTAATTTTAGAGATATTGTGTTGTGCCCTTAAACAGGGGAAATAGTGAGGAGAGGTGAAAGAACGGCACAGACACGCAGCTCTCACTCTCACTCGTCTGTATTGAGTTTCAGAAGCAATACAATCAAAACAATATTCTTATGGATGCACTCAGTCTCAGGACAACTGTATCCAAACTAAGTCACTATTGTTCGCTGCATTAGCTGATGAGAATACTTTAGATAACATGAACTGTAGCATTAGACAAAAACATCTTTTTAACTGGCACATGTTAGCTGACACAGTCACTAACTTTCCACAGCAATGAAATAATACTTTAAGTACTGCATGTCTTTCAGTAGTTAACTTATACAGATAGTAACAGAAAAATCTTCACACAATATGGCGGAGTAATAGCGAAAACTAGCATACACAGCAACAGAGATTAACTGAAACTTCTCAGCCAAAAACAGTCCGCAATTCACATCTTTCGCTACAATGAACAATGATAACAACGTAATAATCAACAGTAACACACATTTATACAGATTTGTGCATGACAGTTACCTTAAACAGGGGAAATAGTGAGGAGAGGTGAAAGAACGGCACAGACACGCAGCTCTCACTCTCACTCGTCTGTATTGAGTGAAGGAGGAAGCGCGCGAACCCACCTACTGGAGCCCTGAGGCATTACCAATGGATCGACGCACAATCAACCCAGGCAAAACTTTCACTACATATCTCCCTCTATATTCCCACTGCATATTCTATTCGAAAACAGTCAAAGCAACAAATAAAACATTAATAAAGGCATGACATGAAATGTCAGGAACAAAGATGTACAACTTCAAAACTAATCAAATTTATGATCCACCACAATTGCACAAATGCAAGAAAGCAGTCCTACATATTTGTTTGATATGCATGTTGAAGGACATATCTGGTCAAAAGATTCCTCAGTGTTACTAGAGGCCACGGTAATGTCATCCAGAGAAAATATCTGGTTAGACACCATGTTGAGGTCTGACATTTGGGGGTCTGTTTCTTAGGGAATGTAGAGCTACTGTAACATCATAACATAAATCACAGCATTACATATGCTTTCTAGTTGATCCAGGTGTGTAAGAGATGTATGGAGGGGTGTTATAACTGTTAGTCTGATATGCAGTAGAAATAGCAGCCTTGATGTTGGTTTGAAGGAGTATGGAAAACACTTGGCGATGATGGGCGGACTGGGTTATTAGTATTTATCCAGCTGACTGCCATTTTCTTGGGAATTGGGACAATCGTGGTGGACTTGAGCCAGGTGAGAACGGCTGCCTGTCTTAGTGAGAGGTTAAAGAAGATGCTTTCCTTCAGCACTCATTTATTATCTCCATCTGCTCAAGCCACTTCTGTGCGGGGGGAGTCTTAGCCGGTGTTGCTGTAAATGTGTCGTCTCCTTCTTCCCTGGAAGCACAAGATGGATGCTGACTCCACTTTCTGGCAGTCAGAGCAAGCAAAGTACTTTAGTTTGTCCATGAAAGTTTTGTCAAAGTGATTTATGGCTTTCCCTGTAGCCAGTGATTGTCCTTATTCCACATGCATTTTGAGTTGTGCTCTATACACTGACATTTCAATTGGAAGTTTATGGGTGAGGGTGTGATTTTATAGTGCATCTATACAAGACTACATAAATTAAAGGGCTAGGACAATCTGATCTGTGGCAACCATAAGCTGCCTTTTGTGAAAACTGGATTATAAAAATGAAACCAGTTTGATTTGTGGTGCAATTTTAATCCTTGAAGAGTTGATTCTCAAATGAGTGAATATCAAGAGCAATTTCACTAAGATCTGTGACTAAAGATTTATATTTTTTACCCCTCCAAGCCACTTAAACTATAGGATTAAACAGACTAGAAAAAATATTGAACCACAAAATTGTAGCTAAATTGCCATAATAATTTACAGGTGATTAGTTTAAAGTATAGAAGTTTGCACAGACAAAAAGCTATGAAGGTGCACAAATTCATTGTCACTAAAATATGAGAAGCAATTCTGTGAGTAGTCTGTTAGATAAACTTGCTCAACTACAGAAGTTCTGTAATTTGCCATAGTAGCACAAATTGTTTTTAGAGTATCAAGTTACATGTATAAACCAGAATAGACATTTAATTTGAATACTTAGTTCTGCATTAACCACAGTCAGTACCATTTTCACAGTCACCAAGAATCACTCAGCATTTACGAGCCTTGGCAAACAGAAAGATGTCCGCTACAAAGAGGAAGTTGACTCAGCCACACTGGGTTGTGAATTGAGCCCCATCCACAGAGTATTGCATTTATAAACAGTCACAACGCCCTTTTGAAAGTTTTAGCAATGTTGTACAAGTAATTTAAGCCTAATGCTTCATGTGAAGCTCAGCCTATGACTCTACACCATGCAGTTTACTTCACATGTCAATGCCCTGTTGTCTGAACACTGGGTTCAGACAAGTGCATTATGCAAATTCAAGTGGCATTATTTTAAACTGATGTTTACATTTGAGGCCTCGTTATAGCCAGTTAAAGATGTCAACCAGAACAGTTTAGAACTTGAGGCCGGCATCTATATTACAGTCATGACCCAACTTACAAATTGAAAATCTTAGACACCATATAGCTTAAGATTTTTTTATTGAAAG